TTAGTCACTAAATTAATAATAGGTAAAATAACATGTTTAGCCACTGAAATTTTAAATAGCTAATTATGAATTAGGATATTTAATTTTAATATATTATAATTTAGTTACTAATTTCAAATACTTTCATTTATTTTACAAGTTTTATTACTTTTATATTTTAATACTATAGTTTTAATTTTATTTATTTTAGGCATTGTTTATTTATATTTTAATTTTATATGTTTATATATTTAATTATTATTGTTATTATTATTATGTAGTCATATAAACATATATAATAATATTATTTACTTATTTTTATATATTAAATAAAAATCCTATTTATAAATTAATTTTATATAAATTACTTTTAAGAAAAATAATCATATTTTAATATTTATTTAGTTTTTAATATTAAGAAATGGGCTGTCTTAAAGCACCTAGAAGTCCTTTTCTGATATATTTTTAAATTATATTAATTTTTTTATTTTTTAGAGAAATGTTTTATTAATATTTATTTATTTTTTTAATATTAAGAAATGGTATGTCTTAAAGCACCTAGAAGTCATTTTATGATATTTCTAAGTAAATAAATATCTTATTTATAAAAATAAAAATAAATATATATATATATAGATTAATTATTTTCTTAAATTATAAATTTGAAATAACAAGATTATGAATTAAATATATTTTGAATTTTTAAATTTCCAATAATAGAGACAATTTATAATTAATGAGTACCAATTTTGGGCGTTATAGGGGTGCTAATCTTCCCTAAACGTAATCGACCACGATTCCCTTTTTTACTAATTTTTTTTGTTATACGTAGATCAGTTTATCTTTTAAATTATGTTTTCTTAAAAACTATTTTAAAAGGTTATTTTTAGGTATTTGACCTACCTAACCCAAAGGGTCAATGGCGACTCCCAAAATATTTTATTTTAAATCAAAATCATTTATATATTCATTTTAATTTTCCCGCCCAGTAAAAATTCGTACCTGGGCAAAAACCGGTTACGACAGCTATGATAATAATATTTCTCTCCTTATTATGTGATGCATGAAGTAATTATTATAAATATAGTCCACATCTTTAATTATATGTTTGTTACTCTTAATTATTTAACTTCTGTTTATTTCTTTTGAAGGTCATAGGCGGCCACATGTTGGGAGCTGACTTAAAACTATAATTGAAGTCCAAGAGCTATGAAATCATGACTAGGACAACTTCGGGGAAGATCAAGATCATTTTAAAGAAAAGTTGTCAGCTACACTCCTAGCTCATAGCTAACTTGAGTTGGGCTTTAGAGCTAGATAAGCTTCTCAATTCAGCTGGAGAGATGCAACATTATCATCATCGTTCATCATACTTCAAATATGGCCCAAGTAAAATTTTCACCAATCGTTCTTTTTCCCAAATAGTTACCATTCCAAGAGGTACATTTTCACAAGGAGCTGTCAAATGACTCACCTAAATGCAACTCAACTATGCCCAGCTCACCTTTAGTTCATTCACGTGGGAAGTAGCTCAAATCATGAAAGGTTATCTTCCAAACAAAGTGACCTTTCATGAAAGTTGATGTCCATTGAGTACCATGCCACCTTGGTATACGGTGGTGAGGTTTTTGCAGCTAAAAGGAGCTTAAAACTCGAAGAGACATGAGGCATCATAGAAGACTATTCAACCACACCATGGGAACACGCCTAGCACACGCCCAATCCTTGGAGCCAAGATGAAGCATCAAATGATTATTCGACCTTCATTCCAGCCAAGTCATTAAGACCCTTTGTGAAGAGATAGTCGAACCAACATGAAGGCCAAAGAACTTGATCATTCATCCTAATAGTCATGCATCTTCATTAAGACATGACCCTTGCTGAAAAGGCATGTAATCATTCAGCCAGCCCTATCAAATCCTATAAATAGAGAGAGTTAGTTCATTTGTAAACACACATATGAATATATAAAATTGTTTTGTGAGAATTCTCTATTCAAATTCTTTTAAGAACTATATCGATTAAACAAGTATAATTCTTTATACATGTGGTGTCACTTCTTTCACTTTAATACTTATGATTCCTAGTTTCATAACTAGTGGGTTTGAGTCCTAAACACCACCACTTATTCAAGTTTGCAAAGATTGGGGCTATACTCTTTATAGTATAGTTTATTCTTTAACTTGACTAAGATACTATCTCTTTCATTTCCATCACCATCCTTTTCATTCATTTCCATTACCATTCTATCATTCAACAACCATCTTCATCAACTTCATTGCCGTGCACACTACTACATCAAGACCGTCTTAAAAAACAACATACTTTAAAGGCCACCATTGCCATATTTCTTCCAGAACAAATCTATCATTCTTCATCCTTAATTCATTTCATTTTCTATTTACTTCCATCATTATCATCATTACTAATCCATTTTATTATCCTTATTGTTTTGCAGCCATACTTATTAAATCTGGCGCAATGAAAGTTGATGTCCATTGAAGTACCATGCACCTTGGTATACGTTGGTGAGGTTTTTGCAGTTAAAAGGAGCTTAAAACTCAAAGAGACATGAGGCATCCTAGAAGACTATTCGGACACACCATGGGAACACGCCTAGCACATGCCCAAGCCTTGGCGCCAAGACGAAGCATCACATGATTATTCGGCCAAAGGGGATGTGCCTTCATTCCAGCCAAGTCATTAAGACCCTTTGTGAAGAGATAGCCTAACCAACATGAAGGCCAAGGAACTTGATCATTCATCCTAATAGTCATGCATCTTCATTAAGACATGTACCTTGCTAAAAAGACATGTAATCTTTCGGCCAGCCCTATCAAATCCTATAAATAGAGAGGCTTAGTTCATTTATAAACACACATTTAAATATATAAACTTATTTTGTGATAATTCTCTACTCAAATTCTTTTAAGAACTATATCGATTAAGCAAGTATAATTCTTTATACATGTGGCGTCACTTCTTTCACTTTGATACTTATAATTCCGAGTTTCATAACTAGTGGGTTTGAGTCCTAAACACCACCACGTATTCAAGTTTGCAAAGATTGGGGCTATACTCTTTATAGTATAGTTTCTTCTTTAACTTGACTAAGATACTATCCCTTTCATTTCCATCACCATCCTTTTCATTCATTTCCATTACCATTCTATCATTCAACAACCATCTTCATCAACTTCATTGCCCGTGCACACTACTACATCAAGACCGTCTTAAAAAACAACATACTTTAAAGGCCACCATTGCCATATTTCTTCCAGAACAAATCTATCATTCTTCATCCTTAATTCATTTCATTTTCTATTTACTTCCATCATTATCATCATTACTAATCCATTTTATTATCCTTATTGTTTTGCAGCCATACTTATTAAATCTGGCGCAATGAAAGTTGATGTCCATTGAAGTACCATGCACCTTGGTATACGTTGGTGAGGTTTTTGCAGCTAAAAGGAGCTTAAAACTCGAAGAGACATGAGGCATCATAGAAGACTATTCAACCACACCATGGGAACACGCCTAGCACACGCCCAATCCTTGGAGCCAAGATGAAGCATCAAATGATTATTCGACCTTCATTCCAGCCAAGTCATTAAGACCCTTTGTGAAGAGATAGTCGAACCAACATGAAGGCCAAAGAACTTGATCATTCATCCTAATAGTCATGCATCTTCATTAAGACATGTACCTTGCTAAAAAGACATGTAATCTTTCGGCCAGCCCTATCAAATCCTATAAATAGAGAGGCTTAGTTCATTTATAAACACACATTTAAATATATAAACTTATTTTGTGATAATTCTCTACTCAAATTCTTTTAAGAACTATATCGATTAAGCAAGTATAATTCTTTATACATGTGGCGTCACTTCTTTCACTTTGATACTTATAATTCCGAGTTTCATAACTAGTGGGTTTGAGTCCTAAACACCACCACGTATTCAAGTTTGCAAAGATTGGGGCTATACTCTTTATAGTATAGTTTATTCTTTAACTTGACTAAGATACTATCTCTTTCATTTCCATCACCATCCTTTTCATTCATTTCCATTACCATTCTATCATTCAACAACCATCTTCATCAACTTCATTGCCGTGCACTCTACTACACCAAGGCCATCTTCAAAAACAACATACTTTAAAGGCCAGCATTTTCATATTTCTTCCGGAACAATTCTATCATTCCTCATCCTTAATTCATTTCATTTTTTATTTATTTCCATCATTATCATCATTACTAATCCATTTTCTTATCTTATTGTTTTGCAGCCATACTTATTAAATCTGGCGCAATACTTGCTATCATTTCCCAGACCGTGACAACAATAAGGCTACCTATAAACTTCATCATTGAGGGTTGTAGATAGGCTTACATCAGGCATGGTAATCGGTATGTATCCCATATCTCAAAGTGAGTTTTTTATTCTAAGCATAATGGCATCTAGTCAAGTTTTTAAGGCTACACTAGAGAATTAACTTTCAAATTGTTTTACTTGACAATATTACAGCTAACCATAACAATGGTATTCATAATGTTTAAATTGAAAAAAGAAACATTACTAATAATATTATTTGTTTATACCAACAATCTCTCCTCGTCAGAACTGCAAAGTTAAATAAAACATGTAATAACAAAAAGAATTGCTCTGTTGTTTAAAGAAATACAAGAAAAACTATTTCCATTGCAATTGTCAGTGTCATTCACTAATTTACTATGTTACTGGTCACGGGTGCGAATATCAGACACGGGTATAGGTATGAAATTGGTATGTTCAATTTTTTTCAAGTTTTCCATGTATCTAGAGGGCCCTTGAACGGTCATATCCTTATATTCATGATATGCATACCTGACATGATCACTACAAGAAAATTGAAGATTCATATCAACATAGATCTTTTAGACAGTTACATCAATATGGATTTCATGCCAAAATTTTAAATTCTACTGGGCATATGGATCAAAAAGCTTCAAAACCAATAGTTGAGTAAACGTTTACTCAACTATGAATTTCCCCATGTCGAGGAAGGCGACAGATGTAAGGGCCCATCTGGTATCCTTTTGTAAAAGGTATAATTAAGTCATTTGATTCATGATGTTTCTTTTAAACAGAACATCAAACATGGGAAACTAAAGACAAATTCTACAAACCACCATAAACTCTCATTAAATGCATAATGACGCAGAAACAAAGCACAAGCAATTATTCATAGGAATTTTCTCTTTTGAAGAAGATTGAAAGAATAATATTCTTGTTACCTGGTCCATTATTTTGCTCAACTAAAAGGACAATAACTAGCTTTGAAATAATCCCGATTTTATCATTTAGTAAAGCTTTAATCTTTGGAAGAAGATTGTTTGGTGTTATATGCTGAAAGATTCAAAGAAAACAATTTATAACTTGAGATGCCCATTGTGTTTAAGCAATAGAATAAGAATTAAACATAAAGAAATGTAAATCATATACCACGCTGTAAGGAACTTTCAGTATGCAGTCCCCACTGAATTTTTTCAGAAGCAAAAAATGACATGTAATAAGGGATTTAAAGAAGAATAAGGATGTTTTCAGAAGCAAAACACTTTAGTGCTTAAAATGAAATATAACTACAGAGCAAGGAAAATAATGTTTTATATCTGGAGAGGTATCCATGGTGTTAAATTACTGTAAAGACCTTCCGCTGTATGCAACATTGTTTACTCACTGCTAGTGTTACCTAATTCGTGGTTCGCTTTAGATTGCAGAACGAGATCATAATTCGTTAATTTCACCATTTTCATTGGGCAGTCTTCTTTAAAAATGTCATCCAGAATCTTCTTTTCGGGAGATATGCTCTCAAATGGTCTAACGGTGAGAAATGAACTAAGAAAATTTGAAATACATCTTAATATCAACACAACACGACATCTTTCAGAAGCTTAAGTTGAAACAGAAAAGGATTGATGCCTCCTAAATGACAGATTACCAGAGAAATGCATCGAGGAATTGCATATGATTTTCATTTACTTATTTTTTGGTTTAACCACTCTCCTTATCGTCACCCATGTCCGGAAATTTAGGCGTGGAAAGAGGCACTACGCCTTACTTGTGCATTCTAATAGAGAGCATCGGACACACAATCACATCAACTAGGAACTGCTCAATTTGGCTGGTTTATTCCTTTAAGGGCCAATGTAGCACAAAGCCCTTCCATTTGCTCCCAAGTATCATATCTCATGAGTATTAGAGACGCTTCGCTCCCCACTGGAGCTTCTTGGTCTGCTTTTATTGATAATCTAAGTAGAAGAGTCACTAGGAAAGCTTTGTGGGAATGTTTTAAGCATCGTAGAAACGTCATTAAGGCATTCATTCCCTTTGTTAATAAGTGGCCAAAATATAGAGATACAACTTTTACTTTTGTTCACTTTGAGAGTCGGGAGGATCTGTTGCAAGCTGTAGCGAAGGTCAATAACGCAATGATAGACGGAAAAAGGTTACTGTTAGGGTGGCAAAGTATCAGAAGTTGGAAAAAATGAAGAACCGAACAGGATCAGAAGATGAAGGGGCAATGAAACAGGATGAGGTTTAAACAAAGATTTTTGAGGATAAAGAAGCGATGTATAATAAGTTTAGATATGGGACCTCTTATCACGACAATTGGTAATAGAAGTTTACCAGTAGGCTCTCGTAATAGAGTGAAGAACGGTGGAGCGGTACTGAAGAGTGCTTTGAATGTCTTCATCCCTACGGAATGTAGGTGTTAGATTAAAAGGTTGTTGACTGACATTTAAAAAAAGCATATGATGTGGAACTAGTTCAGAAAGCATTAGATTGTGAAGGTTTTAATGTAAAGGTGGCGAGTTGGGGTTATGCTAGGAACGCATGTTTGGTCATTTTTTCGGCGGAAGAGGAGAAAAAGAAAGCTAATGAGATAAATTTATGGTTTGATTGGCTTATGCTAGTTTCCATGGATGAGGGTGTCCCTCTAGCTTTCTGCACGGTGTCCTTAATAGGTGTCCCCCTAAATTATTCGTGTGAAATCTTTTTCTCCAATCTGGCTTGAAGGTAGGGGAGTTAGTGGAGATTAAGAAATAAACACTGCTGAAGACGAACTGCAAAGTTGCTCAGATGATCATAAGGGGGGCAAGTCTTTTTGATATTCCTAACTCGATAACCATCAATACAAATGGTAGGTTATATTTGATTAAGGTTAAAGTATAAATGAAGGATAAGGGGTTTCCTGAGTTAGTAAACGAAGATAATGATGGTGAGTCTTCTGATGCCTGGGAACAGGAATCATCGGAGAACCAGTTCGATGACGGAGGGACTTTGAGGGATATGAAAGTCCAAAAGTCATGATTATTGTCTTAGAAGAGAGAGGAGAAATGGGTTCAGGAGAATTCGACAGGTGTTAGTGATAATTTCATATCTGGAGTCAATGGTGCAGTTGACACAAGGCACATTAATTCCTTAGAGGATATTGGAGAGGAGTAGAATGATTGTGTAGCCCCCACTCAGAAGGTTTTGTCGGGAAAAATGGAGTGGACAACGGGTTCGACATGGATACAAATGGTGGTCCATCAGGGCCCAATTTTAATAGGGTAATTGTGGAATCTTCGTGGGCCGACCCATGTATTAGTAAAGGTGAATCTTTACATCCTGGGTATCGTAGGAGATCCAGTTCTTTGGTCTCTCCAAGGCTTAATGAAATCGATAAAAGGGGATCTGGTGGTTCCCAAATTAGAAAGCTCAGAATGCGTGAAGACATGTTTTTCTCTCATTCTCGATCATCTACTTCTAGAGCTGGTCATTCACCAGTTCATGGCCATCCATTAGAAAGAAGTGCTTCAGTGAGAAGATTTGGGTGCAGATTCTTTGATTGAGTTTACAGTAGAAGCAGAGGAAGAGGAATTTCAAGAGAGAATAAGCGAGACTATTCAAAGACCCCTAGTCATCGCTTGTAGGGCGATAAGGAAGTTCAAGCCAGTTGGGAAGTCAAAAATTTGATGTGTGTAACCTTTCAAGGGGGAAAAACATTTTTAAAAAGGTAAAATCTTTGATGGAGGAGAGGAGGAATGGGGATGAGAGATTATTTTCCATGATTTTTAGGTATATATCTTACTTTCAATGTCAAGTTTAGTCATTCTATCATAAAACGTGAGGGGTTTGGGTAAAAGAGAAAAATCAAGGTAAGTAAGAAACCTTATTAAGGGTAAGAAGCCTCTGTTGGCTTTTATACAAGAATCAAAGGTGGAGTTTGTCAACTCTTCATTACTTAGGAAGTTAGGAGGAAATGTGTTGAGAGGGTGTGTTGTGTCCCCTGCAAATGGTTCAACTGGTGGATTGATAATTCTATGGGACAAAAGCAAGTTGGAGGCGGAGTATAAATATGCTCAAGATAGATTTGTAGCAGTTAAAGGTAATTTAAAGGGATCTATATTAAAATGCTAGTTTATTAATGTGTTTAAGCCACGTGTCGATTCGTAAAAGGAATCATTTTTAAGGATATGCTATCTTTTGTTTTACAATTGGATTGTCCCATTTGTTTACGTGGTGATTTTAACGCATTTTTATCTCAAGAGGAGAAAGTAGGGAGGTCTCAGAACATGTTATCCATGAGAATTTTTAGAGAGTTCGTGCTTCAGGCAAATTTGATAGATCTTCCTTCGTCGGGTAGTAAATTCACTTGGTGCAACAATAAGGGACTCTTTACGTGTGTTAGGTTGGACAAATATTTGGTGGATTCGAACATCTTAGCATCTTTTCCGGTAATTATCAGAGCCTACTTTTGAGATACTAATCCGCTCATAATGTAATAGTTTTGGAAAATAGTGTAGCCGATTAGGGGCCAAAACCTTTAGGTTGTTTAATTATTTGTTAGAGGAGAAGGGCTTCGAAGAGGTGATGGTGAAGGAGTTTCATAAAGTTAGTAGGTGGTAGGAGGAAAGGAATTTTCAATATTCCAAGAAGCTCAAAAGCAACCATCAAGAAGTGGTCAAAAAACAGTTTTCTCAAGATGCAGGGTACTATTTCGGAGTTGGAAAAATATATCCATGATATAGAACTTGAGATGCAACAAGGGTCTTCTACTGTCTCTTTTGAGTCATTAATTAAGACGAAAAAGAAGCTATGGATATTGTACAAGGAGGATCTGATTTGGTTGCAGAAGTCTCGTGTGAAATGGTTTTCGGAGGGAGATTGGAATACTATAAATTTTCACATGTGTGCAGCAAACAAAGGTAGGGTTAATGTTATTAAAGCGTTGAAAGTGAGTGGACAATTGATGACGGATCCTGAAGCAATTAAGTATTGTTAATTTTTTAAAGATACCTATAATAGAAAGCCTACAATTTAGGTTGAAGAATTGGACTTGGATTTCTCTAAGATCTCAGTGGAGAATAATTCTTTTCTGGAGAGGCCTTTCTCGGACGAAGAAGTTTAGGATGCTATATTTTACTCAGATAGTAATGAGGCTCCGAGGCCAAACGAATTGAGTATAAGATTTTTCAAAAAGTTTTGGTCAAACCTTAAAGAGGATATCATGAGGTTTTTCAGTGATTTTTACTTGGGTAAAAGGTGGGAGAAGAGGGTTAATCACTCTTTTATAACCCCATTCCTAAAAAGATTAGTTCGAAAGGCATTGAGGACTTTAGGCCTATTAGCCTAGTTGGAGGGCTTTATAAGATCTTGTCTAAGGTTCTATCAAGGAGACTATGGTTTTAATAGACTCGATAATTGGTCCATCTCAATTCACCTTCTTTGCGGGGAGACAGATTATAGATTACTTGTTCATTGGGAATAAGGGGGTTGATTGTTGGAGAAGAAAATGACTAAAAGAGGTTGCCTTCAAGGTAGACTTCAAAAGAGCATATGACTCTATTGATTGGAATTTATTACTAAAAATTATGGAATGCATAGGCTTTGGGAAGAGGTGAAGATCTTAGGTTAATATGTGCTTGTCTTCGACTACAATTTTAATAATAGTGAACGGATCTTCTCCGGATAAGTTTCGGACTGCTAGGGGTCTTTGGCAGGGGTGTTCTCTTTCACTTCTACTGGGGAGCTGAAGTTTTGTGATTAGAAATCAGAAACATTCTTTCGTTCTCTATCACTTTCAATTTGTGGACAATTTATTGTTTTTTTGTAATACTTCTATTGGGGAGCTGAAGAACATGAACAAAGTCCTATTGCTATTTGAATTTATATCTAGTTTGCAATTAAATTTATTTAAGAGTAGGTTGCATGGAATCAATGTTAGTGAAGTTGTTCTTAGTGAGTGGGCTGCTACAATTGGGTGTACAATGGGTGCCTTTCTAAGGCTTAATTCAATTTTATAAAAATTCTTATGGGGGATTCAGTTGAGAAGAACATAATCCATTGGGTGAATTGGTTTACCGTATGCAAGCCTAAGGCTTTGGGAGTGCTTGGTGTTCCCAATTTGGAGCTTATGAATAGGGTGTTATCAAGAAAATGGGCATGAAAATTTGCTAATGAGAAATATTCGTGGTGGAAAAGGGTAATATGTTGTAACAACAAGATTGATCCGAATTCAATTGGGATGGAAAACA